TTTAGGAGAAGAATAATGTAAACGTATACCAGTTCTTTGTAGTTCATAAGGATATCTGAATAATACTCTTTTTAAAGATACATTTTATTGGGGAATAATTTACAATAAAATACACACATTTTAAGTGTATGGGCCAATGAGTTTTGACAAATGTATACAACCTCATAACTACCATTACAGTCAATATAGAGAACCTTTTAGTTACCCTAGAGGAGTCACTTGTGGCCCTGTCCAGTTAATTTCTGACCTCCACCCCAGCCTCTGATCTCAGAAAGCCATTAATTTTTTTTTCTGTCTGATTAGTTTTCCTACAGTTTCATATAAACAGAATCATGTAGTATATACTCTTTCATACCTGGCTTCTTTTCTTTAGGATAATATAAGAAGCCTTGAAATCAAGTATTGTAAGTCCTTCAACTTTGTTCTTCTGTCAAAATCATTTTGCTATCCTAGTTCCTTTGCTTTTCCATGTAAATTTTAGAATTAACTTGTCAACTACTAAAAAGTTTACTGGAATTTTGATTGATCTTGCAGCTGTATCTATAGATTGATTTGGGCAGAATTTATATCTTAATGATCTCAGGTCTCCCAATACACGAATATGATCTTTCCCTTCATTTACTTAAATTAATTTTTTTTCTCAGCAGTGTTTATATAGTTTAATTTTTATCTCTAAATGAACCATATATTTTTCAAATTTTTAAATGCTTATTTATTTTTTTTAATTTTTTTTAATGTTTATTTATTTTTGAGACAGAGAGAGACAGAGCATGAACGGGGGAGGATCAGAGAGAGGGAGACACAGAATCCGAAACAGGCTCCAGGCTCTGAGCTGTCAGCACAGAGCCCGACGCGGGGCTTGAACTCACGAACCGCGAGATCATGACCTGAGCCGAAGTTGGACGCTTAACCGACTGAGCCACCCAGGTGCCCCTAAATGCTTATTTTTGAGAGAGAGAGAGAGACAGAGACAGAGAGTGAGTGGGGGAGGGGCAGAGAGGGGGACACAGAATCTGAAGCAGGCTCCAGGCTGTGAGCTGTCAGCACAGAACCCAACATGGGGCTCGAAATCACAAACCATGAGATCATGACCTGAGCTGGTCGGATGTTTAACAGACTGAGACACCCAAACACGTCTACTGAGAGCATTTATCATGAATGGGTATTGGGTTTTGTCAAATGATTTTACTGCATCTAGTGATATGATCATGTGATTTTTCTTTTTCAGCCTGTTGATAAGATGGATTATGTTAATTGTTTTTGAATGTTGAACCAATCTTGCATACTTGGGTAAATTCCACTTGGTCATGGTGTATAATTCTTTTTATACATCGTTGGATTTGAGTTGCTAACATTTTGTTGAAGATTTTGCATCTATGTTCATGATACTGGTTTGTATTTTTCTTTCCTTTTTTAAATGTCTTTGTTCAGTTTGAGTATTAGGGTAATGCAAGCCTCATAGAATTATTTCTGAATTATTTCTCCTGCTTCTATCCTCTGAAAGAGATTGTAGAGAATTGATATCTTTGGATGTTTGATGGAATTGACCAGTGAACCCATCTGGGCCTGGGTGCTTTCTGTTTTGAAAGATTATTCATTATCAATTCAATTTTATTAGTAGATACAGGTCTATTCAGATTGTCTATTTCTTCTCATGCAAATTTTGGCAAACTGTGTCTGTCAAGGAATTGGTCCATTTCATCTAGGTTATCAAATTTTGGGGCATAGTGTTGTTTGCAGTATTTCTTTTCTTTCTTTCTTTCTTTCTTTCTTTCTTTCTTTTTTTTGTGTGTGTTTATTTATTTTTGAGACAGAGAGAGACAGAGCATGAGTGGGGGAGTGGCAGAGGGAGAGGGAGACACAGAATCTGAAGCAGGATCCAGGCTCTGAGCTGTCTGCACAGAACCCAACATGGGGCTGGAACTCACGAACCGCAAGATTATGACCTGAGCTGAAGTGGAACGCTTAACTGAGCCACCCAAGCACCCCTCTAGAGATTTCTAATTAAACAACATTCTTTTTAAAGAACCAATTTTTGTTTTCATTGATTTTCTCTTGTGTGTTTGTTTCCTATATCATTTATTACTGCATTTGCCTTTACTATTTTCTCTACTGACTTTAGGCTTATTTTTATCTTCTTTTATAACTTCTTAGGTTGGTTAATTGTATTGTTAATTTTGGGTCTTTCTTCTTTTCTAACATAAACAGTTAGTGATGTGAATTTACTTCTAAGTACTACTGTAGCTATATTACACAACCTTGATAAACTGTTTTCATTTTCATTTACCTCAACATACTTTCTAATTTTATGTGTTATTTCTTCTTTGATCTTTGATCTATTTATTTGATTTATTTCTTCTTTGATATTTGATCGAATATCTAATTATTATTTAGAAATGTCTTCTTTAATTTCAGAACACTTGGCAGCTACCCAAATATCCTTCTTTCATTGATTTTTAGTTTAACTCTTTCCAGATAACATGCTCTGTAAGATTTCAATATTTTTCCAATTCACTGAGATTTGAAAAAAATGGCTCAACATACGATCTGCCTGGTAACTCCCCTATACACTCTTGAAAAGAATATATATTCTGCTGTTGATGTGTGTATATTCTCATTATAAATTTCAGTTAAGTCATGTTGCTTGATACTGTCAGTTGACTTTTCTATATAGTTACTGATTTTCTGTCTACCCGTTCTTTTAATTAAAGAATAATTGGGTATAATTGGCAAGTATAATTGTATGCATTTAAAATGTATAATGTGATGATTTGATATACATATACATTGTGAAATGATTACCAAGATTGAGATAATTTACACATCAATCAGCTCAAAGAGGTAACTATTTGTATATGTTGTAAGAATGCTTAAGATCTACTCTCAGCAAATTTCAAGTATACAATACCACATTATTAAATATAGTCACCACGCTGTACATTAAATCCTCAGAACTTATCTTCTTATAACTAGAAATTCATACCCTTTGACCCATATCACCCCATTTCCCCCTTCCCCAGCCCTCAGAAACTACCATTCTATTCTATTCCTAGAAAATTCGCTTTTTTTTTTTTTTACATTCCAATTTAAGTGATACTATACACTATTTGTCTTTCTCTGTCTGACATACTTTACTTCATATACTGGCCTTCAAGTTCATATATGTTGTCACAAATAGTAGGATTTCTCTTCTTTTTTAATGGCTGACTAATACTCCATCATGTAAGATATATATGTCTATATACATACATACATATATATACATATCTCTCTATATATAAAGGTTATATATAGATATAGATATATGTAACATTTCATTATCCATTCATTCATTAAAGCACATTTAGATTGTTTCAATATCTTGGCTATTGTGAATAATGCTGCAGTGAACACGAGTGTGCAAATATCTCTTTGAGATGCTGATATCAATTTCTCAGATAAATACCCAGAAATGGGGTTGCTGGATCAAAATGGCAGTTCTATTTTTAATTTTTTGAGGAATCATCATACCATCTTCCATAATGGCTGTACAAATTTATATTTCTACCAACAGTGTGTAAGGATTCCCTTTTCTCCACATACTCACTAATATTTGTTATCTCTTGCCTTTTTTGTAATAGCCATGCTAATTTGTATGAGGTGACATCTTATTTTGGTTTTGATTTGCATTGCCCTGATGATTAGTGACCTTGAGCACCTTTTCACCTACCTGTTGGCCATTTGTATGTCTACCATCTTCCTATTTATTTTCTATTTGTTCCATTTATTCATTTTTTTCCTCCCTTGATTTATTTTTTTGGTTGTTTTGCCTCCACTATTGATTTATTAGCTTCTTTGTTTTATTTTTAGAGATTGCTCTAGGGTTTAATCTGTCTAATCTCAGTCTACCTACAAATGGCATTATACTGTTTTATGGATTATGTAAGTTTTCTTTAAATTACTGAACATATTCATAACAGCTATTTAATAAATGAATAATTAAGTATTATGGTGATAATTCTTTCACCTATATCATCTGGGTCTCTTTCTATTGAGTGATTTTTTTTCTTTATTGTGAGTCACATTTTTCTGCTTCTAGTCATCTCTAGAAATTTTAGATTGGATGTTGGAAAGTGTAAGTAATATATTCTTGAAAATCAGGATTTTGTTGTCTTTTTTAAAGAGCACTGCACTTTGTTGTGGTAGGCAGCAAAGTTACTAGTGATTTAGTTTGATCCATTCAAGGCCTTTTTTATTTTTTTTTTTAATTTTTTTTTCAACGTTTATTTATTTTTGGGACAGAGAGAGACAGAGCATGAACGGGGGAGGGGCAGAGAGAGAGGGAGACACAGAATCGGAAACAGGCTCCAGGCTCTGAGCCATCAGCCCAGAGCCTGACGCGGGGCTCGAACTCACGGACCAGGAGATCGTGACCTGGCTGAAGTCGGACGCTTAACCGACTGCGCCACCCAGGCGCCCCTCAAGGCCTTTTTTAAAGCACTTTCCTGGTGGGCTTTTAATCTATGATTTAGTTTTTCTATTAATGTATGGTTCTTCTTAGGATCTCAGTACACTGAATGTACTACATGTTCAGTAAGAACTCTTCCAGCCCTGTTTGAGATCTTAGAATTCTTCACCTTCTGACTCACTGACACCTTCTTCTTTTCCATACTCATGGAAATTTACACACCGTCATTTTATTATTCATCAGAGAACCGAAAGGATTTCTATGAAGATTTCTCAAGTTCTTTTTCTGGATAGCTACTCCACCTGGGGATTCTTTCCCTAAACATTTTAGCTGCCTCAGAACTCCTGAACTCTGATCTGTTTCCTCAACTCATTGAGACTACCCAGCTTGTGATTCCCTCACTGTTCTGTGGTCCAGAAGGTGCCTCTGTGCAAAAAAGTCAATTCAATCATGGGGGTTTCCTTATTTGTTTGTTTGCCTTTCCTGATCTATGTATTGTCCAATATCTGGAAGCAGTTATTTCATGTTTTTATCTAATTTCTAGTTGTTTAAGGTAGAAAAGTAAGCCCCATCACTGTTAATCCATCATCACTGGAAGTCGAAGGGTAAGTACTCTTTTACTTCTTGACTTGGATTATTCTAGAAATATAGATTTAAATAAGTGGCAGAAATTTGCTTGGTTGATTTTCCTGATGTTTACTGCAAATATTACCAAAATACAGAAGTTATGACAAAGAAAATAATCACTGTTAATATTTTGTCATTTGTCTTTGCAACTTTGGTCTATACTTGGTGACACTAATAGATATGGGTTCATAACTCTACCTTTGTAGTGGGTGGTGAAGCCTTGGTAATTAGACAAACAAAAATAAGTAGTATAAATCTCAGAATGGAATTATAGTAATAGAGTTATTACTAACTCCTGAGAGTTATTAATGTTATTATTATTTACAGATAATATGATTACCTACATAGAAGGCTTAAGAAGATAAACTAAAATGACAAGAAATAGAATATTTTTCAAACAGAAAATTTTTATTTGACAATATTAACTACAGTTGATTCTTGAATAACATAGGGTTTAGGGGCATCAACCCACCATGCAGTAGAAAATCCACACATAACTTTTGGCTTCCCCAAAACTTAACTACTAATAGTTTACTATTGACCAGAAGCCGTTAATGATAACATAATCAGTCAATTAACACATATTTTATATTTATAAGTATTATATACCATATTCTTACAATAAAGTAAGCTAGAGAAAAGAAAATGTTATTAAGAATATCGAAAGGAAGAGAAAATATATTTATAGTACTGCATCCAAAAAATCCACATATAAGTGGACTAGTGCAGTTCAAACCTGTGTTATTCAAGGATCAACTGTAATTAGAAAGTATACTGGGAAAAAGATCTTTATTACAATATCAACAAACATATGCAATGTCACATACATATGTAATTAGGTTTATGAAAAATGTATGAAAAATTGCATGAAGAAAATTACAAAGCTCACTTGAAATCTTTAAATAACTAGTAATATTGTGTTCTTATTTGGGAATATTTAATATTGGAAAGTTGTCCATTTCCCACATATTTAACTATAAATTACTTGTAATCTTCATCAAAATCCATATGGAATTTTTTAGAGCTAGACAGAATGATTCTAAGAATCGTTGAAAGAATAAAGTTTGATAAGATCCAGGGAAATTTTGAAAAACTCTAGTAATGAAATGGGAGTTTCCTTACCAGATATTAAAACTTATAATAAAGTTAGAGTAATCACAAACGTATGGAACTAGCACAGGAATAGACAAAACAGATCAGTGAAGCAAAAAGACAAAGCCCAGAACAAGTCCAAAAGTATTCAAGAATGTATTGCAAAATAAGAGTGGCATTTTAAGTCAGTGAGGAATGGATGGATTTCTTCAATAAATAAATTTGCATTTACTATCTAATATATTTGGGAGGCAGGGATATATCAGGAGTTAAAGCATAATTTGTGTCAGAAAGGCTTAAATGTAAAATATGAAGCTTATTAAAAGGGTGGGAAACAGACACTCTCATATATTTTTGGTGCACAATTTGTCGGTATCTATTAAAGTAAAGAGACTTCCATATACTTTGGCCACACAATGCCTTTTCTATTAATTCACCTGATAACTTGTGTAGATATACTGGTCCATGTATACAAATAAATGTCCTTGGACAAGAATAGTAATGTCAGCATTATTTATGATATTAGAACAGAACTCTTCTTGGCTCAGGATATCAAAGAGAATTGACACCTTCCTTTCTGTAGATTGACAAAGGAATTTGGTCAAAAATCTGTTCAATGATTCTTGAACTGCTCAGCCACATCAAGGATGAAAATAAGGTCTGAGACTACAAGAGTGAGGTTTTGGGGAGAAGATTCTTTGGAGAGAGCTGTTGCCTTTCTGGGTCTTCACCTCAACTTTGGGGAACCAGTGGAGAAGACTACTGTCAAGACTAGGAAGGGGAATTTCAAAAGGCTTTTCCAGAAGTGGGAGAAAGAGAAGACCGGTGTCTGCCCCAGGTGTGGGGTTGCTAAAGTGGCCTGGAGTCAGGGGCTGACTCTCCTGAGAAATCCAGAAGTCAGAAAAGGCCTGCCTTACAGCTTTGGTGTCAGAACCCTGCAGTTGAACCTATGTTGGGATCAGGGATTGTTAGGACAAGGGATATATGAGTGTTTCCAAAGTCAGATATGGGCCATGTGCCAAAGACCAGCATAAGGTGTCCCTGGGTCTGGTTCAGTAGAGCTGCCCTAAGGGCCAAAGAGAAGTTGGTAGAACAAGGCTGATCATGCCAAGAAAGGAATAATAAACAATCAAGAACAAGTCAGGAGAACTGCCTGGAAAAACAGCTTTCTAGGGAACCTCCAACAACCACACAAAGATCCCTAAGAGAAAGAGGCAGCATGAGCCATCAGCCAGGGGCAGAGAACTCAAAATCACCCAACCAGTGATAACCACCATCTCATCCCTTTACCTTTCCTCATGAATATACCCCTTCCCCCTGCCATCTTCACTCTCATGGGAAGTGAAATCACAAGTAGCAGGGGAATGATGTAAGGAAAGAGGCAGACAGAGGTTCCTTCCCCACTCTAGTCTTCCTACAGGTAGCTGGCCGAGTTGGGGGAAAGGAGAAGAGAGGGAGAAGAACTATGTCAAGTTCAGGGATTTGGTCTATTATGTGGAAATAAAGATGATAATTTTTAATTGAGGCTGAGTTTTTGACTGAAAACAAAAGCCCATGAGAATAGTTAGTGATGTCAAACAAAGGTAAGAAGTGTTATTCTAAAGAAAGACTTATAAATGGATAATGGATGAAAAAAATTTTTTGATGATATCATTAGGCATCTTGTTCAACATACCAATTACAGCAGAACAACACTGGAAAAACATAAAGGCCCACCAAAAAAAAAAAAAACTGGACAAATACACTGATACATTCGTATAGTACAATATTATATTGGCATTAAAGTAACCAGGAAGATTTTTATGCATGGATAAGGAATGATCTCCAAATAATAAGCTCAGTATGGATAGAAGCAAGGAATAGCCCACTTTATGTAGTATGCTACTCTATATGGGGATAAAAGAGCGGAGGGGTGTGTAAAGTACACACGTGGTTTATGCTTGAGTATCTCCAGATTCCTAAGAAACTGGACACACAATTTACCTCTGAAAAAGACAAGTTGGAGACTGGGGAAAGGTATGGAGGGGACATCTACTTTCTACGTGCATTTGTTACTAAAATAAATAGTAAAATTATGAAAGTACTAGGCAAAAACCAGGCTATTATTAACTTATTGAAATAAAATGTAGGGGGGTGCCTGGGTGGCTCAGTCGCAGTTAAGCGTCCGACTTTGGCTCAGGTCATGATCTCACGGTTGGTGAGTTCCAGCCCCGCACTGGGCTCTGTGCTGACAGCAGCCTGGAGCCTGCTCAGATTCTGTGTCTCCCTCTCTCTCTCTGTCCTTACCACTCATCATGCTCTCTGTCTCTCTTTCTCTTTCTCTCTCTCTCTCTCTCTCTTTCAAAAATAAATAAACATTGAAAAAATTAAAAAAAATAAAATGTAGGTAGTTTTAGTTCACTCTTCCCATGGAATTACCGCTAAACAGAACTTACACAGAAAAATAGAATTTAAAGTGATTTAAAACTTTATTCTCTTGAGTAAACACCAATGGGCTATAGTGACCTGTGTGTGTGACAGAAATACATTTTAATGAACCATAAAACATTAAAAAAATTCTCTCACTTCTCCGCCATTCTCTATGTCCTCTACATGTACCACAGCTGATAGCTACAAAAAACTCTTAAGTTCCCAATCAAAATTCATTCAGAAACTGAGAATGCATGGTTCAACTTCCACACTTGGTCTCTTCTGTGGCTATATGTTTTGTATATGTAATATACATATGTACCCCTTTTCTTAAACCTTCTGATTTTGCAGCTTTTTGTACCAAGTTTTTAAAAATATAACAAAAAATCATGGATCTAAGCAAATAGACACGAATATTCTTTGGAATGGAGGAGGGTGGGGAAGCTATCAAACATTTATACATTATCACTCTGACATTTATATAATCTTGGGTGGGGCACACCTCTCTAACATAAAACTAAATATGAAGGGAAAATGACATATTTAACTACATTAAAAAACAACTTTTGGAAAAAAGCCTGGCACAGGAAAGTTTTGGTCATGTATCAAAACATTTCAAAGGTATAATTATTATAATGTGTTGTTGGTGGAGGGACTAACAAGGAGACCAATGGAACAGAACAGAGGACATAGAAACAGACTCACTCATACACAGAAAGTTGATGACAGAAAAGGCAATAATGAACTAGAGGCAAAAGGTTGAACTATTTAATAAATGAGCTGAGATAGCAGGTTATCCATATGGAAAAGAATTTAGATCTTTACCTCACACCATATACAAAATAAACTCCATGTAGATTAAAGAAGTAAATATAAAAAGCAAAAGTTTTTAACTTTTAGAAGAAAATGTGGAGACTATTTTTATGGTCTTTGTATAGGGAAAGACAGATTTAAAACTCTCTCTCTCTCTCTCTCTCACACACACACACACACAGTCCAAACCTGAAAACAAACAAAAAAAAAAAAGATTGATAAGTGAGACTACATTAAAGTTTAAGGTATTTCTCAACTAAAACAGCACACAAATTACTAAAGCAACCATAGACTGTGAAACAGCCTATGTTTCATATGCATGGCAACATGTATAATGCTAAAGGACTACAGGTAGTTTAGAAAAATAAACAAAAGAATAGGCAAAATATATAAAGATTTATGGCGTTTATGGAAGAGGGAACCCCAGAGGCCAACAAATGTGTGAAAAGACAAGCTGACTTGGACTAGGAAACTATAAAACTATAAAACAGTGAGTTTTTTTTTACCCATAATATTGACAAAAATGAAAAGTTTGGTAACACCATGAGTTGGAGCAGAGAAACAATACCCAGGAGAGAGTATAATGGTACCACTGCTTGAGAGAGCTATTTGGCACCATCTAGAGAATCTGAAATTGTGCACACCAGTGATGCAGACAATCCTCATCTTGCCACGTGCCTAGAGAGACTCTGGGACATGTACAGAGTCATGTACAAGAGTATTAAATGTTCTTTATAATGAAGATTTAGAAGAATAAAAACCCTAAGTGCCCAGCAACAGGAAAATGGATAAATTTCAGGGTATTTATAAATAGAATACTATGCCTTCATTAAAATGAATGAATTATAGCTGTATATTTCAATATGAACATATTTCCAAACATGATATTGAGCTAAAGCCAATTATAGAACACCTGCGATGTGATTCAATTCATGTAAATTTACAAAACATAATGTACAAAACAATATCATACATACACATACACATAGTATTGTGGACATACACATAGTATTGTTATTAAAGCATGCATGGAATTAATGATATCCCCCCAAAACTGGGATAGTGATTAGATTTGGTGAGAGAAGAAGTAGAATGCAATTATGGAGAGAAACACAAAGTACATGAGCTGTAATGAAAATGTTTTGTTGCTTTAAAAAATCTGAGGCAAATTGACAAGTTGATACTTCATAGGGTCATGTGAACAAATTATATGGATATTATATTTCCCCATGTGATAATGTAAACTGTAAAGAATATTTGCAAAAAATATATGATAAAAGGGGGTTAATATTGTTTTTATCTATGGAATACTTGTAATTCAATAACAAAATTACACAATCACCCCTCTCAAAATCCAAATCTAGGTAAACTATGTAGGTAGGCAGCCTCAAAAGAAGGATCTAACCTCCTTACTAATCAAAGAAACTCATATTGAAATGTGACGCCTCTTTTTTCTTTTTCTTTTCAGATGGGTAAGGATGAAACAGGTGATAAAATCAGCATTGGAGACAGGGAAGACAAGGCATGCTCCAATGAAGTGAAAAGAATTAAAATCCCTCTGTAACCATTGTTAGAACAATCCTGCATAAATCAAAGATATTTTAAGAACATGTGTCATTCGACTCACCAATATTCCATCTCTAGGAGTTTATTCTTGGTGCAGCAGGGACAGGAATCAGACTATTCTAAACAGGATTTATTGCAAATAATTTAGAATATCAAAAACTGGAGACAACTTAAATGTCCTAAATTAGAAGCTTGAGTGAATATGGGGTGCCAGCTCTTGATTTCTGCTCAGATCATGATCTCATGGTTCATGAGATCAAGCGGCATGTCGGGCTCTGCACTGACAGCGTGGAGCCTGCTTGGGAGTCTCTTGTCTCTCTCTGCCCCTCCCCTGCTCTCTCTCTCTCTCTCTCTCAAAATAAATAAATAAGCTTTTTTAAAAAAGAAGCTTGAGTGAATAGATTATGATATGAAGACATAAAGCAATATAAAATTATGACATATATTTACTTTCCTGAAAATGCTTTCATTTTATAGAATGGTTAAGTTCACATTACAAATAGTGTTTATTTTTATAATATTTATAAATTCATATATGTTTTTATATGTACACACATATGTGCACACATGCATATATGTTTCCACCAAAAACAGTCTAAAAAGAGAATGCATGGCACAGACAGTTGTATTATTTCAGAGGTGTGATTTAAAAAAAATTTTTTTTTTCTAACATTTGGACTATGCTTATATATTACTTGTGTGTGAAAAGGAAACAAAACTAGCACAATGCAGGAAATGTGCTCTTCCTCTGAATCTTGAGGGTCAAGATTGGAGAGGAAAAGAAAATTATCATTATTTGAAGATATTACTGTTTGCCTAAGAAAACCAAAGCAAATCAATTATAAAAGTATTAGAAATCATGAGAGTGAACAGTGGCTTATTAAAAGATAGTTACCCAGGTGCACCTGGGTGGCTCAGTCGGTTAAGCATCTGACTTTGGTTCAGGTCACGATCTCACGGTTTATGAGTTTGAGTCCCGCAGAAGCCTGCTCCAGATTCTGTGTCTCCCTCTCTCGCTGCCCCTCCCCCACTTGTGCTCTGTCTCTCAAAAATAAATAAATGTAAAAAAAATTTTTTTTAAAAAGATAGCTACCCAGATTTCATTGGCTTTCATAAATAACCAACTAGGAAACATAATAAAAGATATCACCAATAGCAACAAAAACCATAACATATGTAGGAATAAGCTTACCAAACACAGTGGTGTGTGTGAAAGCACACACACACATGCACGCACACACACACACACACACCCCCCATACTCATACGTATACATACACGTACTTCTCCATATATGTCCTCTACACATATAGCCATACCCTACACATATAGGAAAAACTTTAAATGGGATGTTAATAGATAGATAGACATATTATGTTCTTTAATGGGAAGTTTTAATATTGTAAAGATGTTTTGGAAGAACTGACATCAAAACACCTAGCACATCCCAATCAAAATCTCAGTGTGATTTTGGAAAGTGGGAAAATGATCAAATTTACCATAAAAGTATCATTAAAGAATAAGCTCATGACTATATCAAAAAGGAAGAAAAAAGAAAAGTGACCTATAGTCTCAGATGTTCGAATATACTTCAGAAATATAATAATCAAAAGAGTGTGGCTAGCGTTCAGAACAGAATAGTAAGGTCAGAAACCAACCCAGTTAAATATCAGAATTCAGCATATATGTAACAGTTTCATTTCAACTCAGTAGGAAAATGATTCTTTTTTTTTTAATTCGTTAGGGCAATTGATGAAGTACCAGAGAAAAGTCCCTATCTCACAATGTACATTAAAATAAATCTCAATTATGGGGTGCCTGGGTGGCTCAACCGGTTGAGCGTTCGATTTCGGCTCAGGTCATGATCTTGTGGTTTGTGGGTTTGAGCCCCGTGTTGGGCTCTCTCTGTGCTGACAGCTCAGAGCCTGGAGCCTGATTCACAGTCTGTGTCTCCCTCTCTCTCTGTCCCTTCCCTGCTCACCCTCTGTCTCTCTTTCTTGCTAAAAAATAAATAAAAACATTAAAAAATTTTAAAATAAACCCCAATTATATTACTTAATTAAGAGTAAAGTTTGAAATCACTGATAACCTGGAACAAGATCTAGGTAATATCTCATCTCAGGATTAGAAGGCCTTTGTAAAAGCACTCGCAAGAGCAGAATCCACAAAAAAAGAAATAGATAGGTATAACACTCAGGAAATCTTTAGCACAGTAACAGAACACGCTATTTTCACAAGCTGGTTCCCTGGGAAGACAGCTCTGAGGTGGAGAGTGCAGGAGGTTTATCAGTAGTGTTCTTGGGAATATCACATGTGCAGGCAGGATCGGCCAGGGGAAAGCTGAGCTGTGTTGCATCTCAGTGAAGGTTGGGTGGACCCCACAAGGAGCTCTGAAGCTGAGAGGGTCCTTCAGAGTTGTCCCAAGGTGGGGGCCTTTTCATCTTTGGATATGGGCTCCTCCAGGAGTGGGGCATTTTAGTGGCTTAAAAGTACGTCCATGAATTGTCTAATATCCATCCCTCCAAGAGATGGTGCCTACTTCTCCTCCTTTCGAATGGAACCTGGACTTAGTTGCTTCTAACAAAGAGAGCACGGCAGTCATGATGGCAAGACTAGGTCACAAAAGCCATCATGGCTTCTTTTAGGGCTTCCCTCTTGAAGGAAGGAAAGCTGCCGTGTTGTGAGAACACTCAAGCAGGCCTATGGAGGGGCCCCCGTGGTGAGAAACCAAGGCCTCCCACCCACAGCCATTCTAGTGAGACACCTTTAAAAGCCAGTCCCCCGGCCCCAGTCAGGGGACTGGGTCCAATGACTGCAGTCCTGGTCGACAGTTCGACTGCAACCTCATCAGAAACCCTAAGCCAAAACCACCCCCCTAAGTGGCTTTCAAATTCCTAATTCACAGAAACTTCAAGATAATAATTGTTGTTTTAAGCTCCCATGTTTTGGGGCAATTTATTACAGAGCATGGGTTACTGTTATACCTGTGATGTTGGGCAAGGTAGCTCTGACAGCCGACCGTTGGAGGCTCCCTGCTGCAGCATTTCCCTGCGACGGAGGATGGAGTCCTACAGTCCTAAAGAAGACACACCACAATGTCCATCCTAACCATGAAGAAAACACACCGCCAAATAACAAACCGGGTTTAAAAAGACCTGCGCAATCCAAATACCAACTCCTGGTGTTCCTAGGCATCTTGACGGTTTGGGTTTGCCAGTTTGGGGAGCAAAGGGGTAAGTGGCTTCATGGTCTGAGACGGCTATTTCATGTCAACTGGGATGCAGATTCAGACAGGGGAACCACATTCGAACCAAACATTACCCCACCGGACTTCTCAGGAGGTCTGGGGGCCGTATTCTGGAATCCACCCACACCTTTCCACACCCCTCTTCTCTCACTCCCTTCTCCCCTTTTCTCCCTACGTCCCAGAATTTCTCCAACTCCAAATATTTCTCCCTCTGTCATGCAGAGCACTTCAGCTCTTCCTGCCCTGCCTTATCTCATGAGCGGAAGTACCCCAATCGTTCCAGAAGCTCGGCAAAACTGAGAGCCTGCCACCAACCAGGATCCTCCAGTCTTAGAGGGCCGTTGATTCCTGTTACATGTCTGACAAATGGCAGCCAAAGGGTCAATATCTTTAATACTCATATAATAGCTCCTGCTTAGACATTCATTTATTTGTTTATTTTGATTTAAGATTATTTATTGAGGCATGCAGGAAATGGAAAGGCTGAGACACAAAGTGAGGAAATAATGAGAAAACTTATTGTGTGTTATACTTACTCTTTTTAGATTTAAAAAATCTGGATGTGGGAATCAGTTACATGTGGAATCTAAAATCTAGTCTGAGTGCATTTAAACTGTAGATACAACAATAAATATTTACAAATCATTAAATTCAATCTAACCCAAGCCCTTGGAAAGTGCCAAATCCTCTCTAGAGTCAGTTACTGAGCTTGCCTTTTCTACATATTCACATATAATTTCTGGCTTGAACATTTATTTTGTGCCAGCATTATTCTAAACACTTTACACTGATTTTAAGTGGAGTCTGCCAAGGGCCCCTGTGGAACAAGGGGAGTCCTCGAGGTGAGGGCCAGATCCCAGGTGTCCCTCCCCCGCAGTGAGAGACCATGGACGCTTATCTTCCCTTGCAGACACCCACAGAGGATGGGGCACTGAGGGCCGAGGCCTGGGGTTGGGAGCGTCAGGCTCATACCTGCCCTGTGAGGTCCTGGTCAAAAGAGTAGCCTGCTCTCCTTGAACCCTTGCTCTGCCACTTACCAGCTGCGTGACCTTGGGCGAGTCACTTCCCTCTCTGTGCCCCAGTTTCTACATTGGTAAGGTGGGCTAGTAATATCTATTTCCTAGAGCTATTGTGAGGACTCACCAGGCTAATTCATTTGAAGCATTTAAAACAGTTACTGGCACCTACATAGCATCCCCAAATGATAATTAATGTTTGAAATTCTATTGTATGCCTCACTCATTTAAAAGCTATTTCTGAAAAAGGCACAAAGCATCATTCCTGTCCCCAGCAGTGCTTCTCCCAGGGCTCAGCGGTCAGTTGAGAAGCTGAATTAGCACCCCCGGGCCTCTCTCTTCTGTCATTTCCTTTTCACAAAGAAGACTCCGGTTTAATCTGAAACACCCCAGCTGTGCTTTAGCCAGAGACTGACTGGTTTCGCCTGGGGGGTTAATGGAACCTCTGTTTTGGGGGCTCCACGTCCCCTTCCAAAGCCGTAGGGCCTGCTCCATGGCCGGGAGTGTGAAGAGGCTGGCTCCCTGGGCGCGGGGGTGGACACAGGTTAGGCTCAGAGGCAGCTCCCAGCGGAGCTCCTGGAGCCAGCGGCCAGGCTGGGCGGACTCTGAGGCAGCCTCCTCCGCCAGCAGAGTAAGGCTTTCCACACAAAACAGTTTTCCCAATGGCCTCCGGATGTCTGCATTCCGCCTGGATCAGCGCAGGGTGACTCCCAGCTCCATCCCAGGAGCCGTTTGACCTTGGGCACGTGCACTCTGAGATGGTTTCCTCACAGCTGAGATGAGGGTAACACCTACCTGCCCAAACATGACACATTATCAGTCAAAACTTGCTACACAGTGCCTGCTATCAGGTTTTGGTAAACACTGTCGGTGTCTCTTCATGACTGCCTGGGCCGTGGCCTCCACCTCAGAGATAAAACTCCCTCCTTCTGTGCGTAGTCCAAGCAGATTTCCCCCAGGTGCCGCCGACCTCACAATGCCTGGTCTTAGTTTAATATCTCCTTAATGTTCTCCTTGTAGGGCTTCCCCCCCGAGATAGCATCCAGGAACAGGAAAGCTCTTTCAACCCCTTCATGTTATAGGAAAAAGATCTGAAGCCCAGAGAGGAAAATGGCCAGCCCAAGACCACACCCGACAGAGCTGGGACCAGAGCCTAGGCGTGGGGTCTCCCAGGCCAGGGCTCCCTCTCCTGGGGGTCTTGGGCACATTCCTCATGGTCTCTCCCTCCATTCTTTATTCCTTGTTGGCACTGGCTTTCAATTTACACTGAGCTTGCACAGGAGAGGAGATTCTTGAGCAGGGCCAACATGCATAAGCACAGTGAGCATGAAAAGGGGTGGGGGGCCAGTGGGGATCATTCATGAGGAGGCCAAGGCCAGCCCCTAAGCCAGGTGCCAGGGCAGGGAAATGGGCAGCAGGTGGCCTCAGATCATCACAGCAAGTCTGCCATCCTAGCTAGGAAAGGCTGAAGCTTGGCGGGAGGGTGGGGGGAGTGTTGTGGTAAGGGTGGTCTGGGGTTGTGGAACACTTACCCGGGCCCAGGTCCACACACAGCACTGATCCCCATCCCAGGTCTGGCTTCACCTGCACTCTTGCCCTGACTAGGGACTAAAGGAGAGAAGTGACATCAGAACTTGGAATTCAGGGCTTACCTAGATATTCGAAACCTTTAGTTCCAACCTTTCTGGGAGTCCATTCTTTCTTCTTCTCTACATCCTCCTTCTCCATTGCCTCTCCTTTTGCCAATCCCTCCAAGAGGTTATCCAGGCAAAGCATGTAAATGGTCCCTTCATTAGCCCACCACCGCATCCCACTCTTGTACTTCCTTCCCTCGGAGCCATTATTCCTCCAGTTGGTGCCTGGATGTGTCTTTCCTCCTCTCTATGGATTAATTCCACCAGGCCCTCAGACCCAGCCCAAGTCCTGCCTCCTCAAAGAAGCCAGCTTCAAATGCTTCCCTGATCCTGCCTACTTCTGAGAGTGCATTAAACCCATTGCTCCACATAGCACCAAGGCAGCAGGTGAACTTCCTAGGGGTACCAACCTCATCCCGCTCTGTTCCCTCACAGGGCTCAGACATAAGAGGCACATGACCTGGGGTGCTCATTAAAAATTCAGAATCCCAGGCCCCATTCTAGCTCTATGAAATCGAATCATTGGGCGGGGGGCCAGGGAATCTGCTTTGGCAAGGCCCGTGAGTAATGGCCAAGCCCGCTTAGGTTTTAGAGCCTGTGAGGGGGTCCCAGTGTATCCCTCTTCTCACCTCATGAACCACATACATCAGACAGTTTGATGAAACACTTATTTCCTGACATCATAGGCAACATGAGGAGGAGAGAACAGAGAGGGTCACAGGGGGAGCAAAGAGAGAAAAGGGTGAAGGTAGACATGGGCTCCTCATAAGCTCAAGGTTGCCTGCAAGGTCTCCAGAGGAAACGGGGATGCCCCATGAGGCTACCAGAAGCCCAGTGAGGAGGGGGTGTGGCTGCCTCCCCACTTTATGGACAACCCTTCACTTCGCCCCTGGGAGGAGGGAAAGGCCTTCAGGTGCCAGTGGTAGCCCTAGTCAACCAGGGTTGGCCGCAGACAAGGGGGAAGGTGGCCAAAGACAAGAGGGTCTAGGACGGGAGAGTGAATAAAAGGGGATAGGTCAGGGACAGCGAGGTGAGGAGGGACCACCCCTCTGGAGAATGGGGCCTGAGGACAAGAGTCAAATAAGAGAGAAACTTGTCTCGATGTTCAGCAGATTAAGGATGAAGAAAGAGCTTGGCTGGCTTCAAGAAGAGATGGGCTAGCTCTCACTGATCCTCAATGAATTAGAGTTTTGCTGTCATGAGGCAGAGAGCAGAGCAGGGACCTTCTCTAAGCCCCCTTCTCCCCAGAGCACAAGAACTAGAGGGTCCTTGTTCAGGCGAGCAGAGGAAAGACGAGCTGCAGACTCGAACGGGCTTGCAGGCCGGCCTAAGTCCCTTCCCCTCTCCCTGGGTTCCAGTGCTCACAAGTGGTTCTAGGTGTGTGACCCCAGCTGGGCTAGGAGGCCAGCTGCCTTTTGTTCTTCCCTGGAGCATACTGTGGGTGAGATAAGAGATAGTGGGGAGGTCCGGCACAGCCACAGGAGCCATCAGAGAGCAACATTTGTGCAGAGGGGCATCTGCTCCCAGGCCCCACACCCGCCTCAGCCGGACCACCAGCCTGGTCAAACGCACTTATTTATGGGGGTGGTTTAGAACAGCTGCAGAAAGAACTGAGAAAGGGAAGGGATTGTGGGCTGGGATAGTCAGGGAAGGCTTCCGGGAGGAAGGGAGTGAACTGGGCTTTGAAGTACGAGCCAAGTTCGAAGGATGGATGGAACTGCTCTTCCCCCCCACCCCCACCCCCGATTTCTATAAAGCAAACCTTAGAAAAGCCACTCCTCATTGTGTGACAGTGTCCTGGTTTCCCATGGGCCTTTCTGCATCTCCCGAAAGTCCCAGCCGTGCCTGGGTGGAAAGGAGAACACTGGAGGAGGCTGTGCTTCTGATTAGGCCCCAGTCTCATGTTTACAACCATGGAGATGGGGGCCCGGGATAGGGATGATGGGTCTCTGGGGAAACGACTGCACAGAGCAGAGCCAAGGGGATAGGGAGGCAAGTCGACATTTCCAGAACAGAAGGTGGCTTTCTTCCTTCCTATTCACCCTGGGAAGGCTTTCATCCTGGCAGGCAGGCACAGGGCACTGGGCTTGGGGTGGTGCCCTGTTGTCTTTGGCGTCTGAACCCAGGCAGGGAGGGTGACAATAGGTATAGTGTTTCCCACACGCTGTGTGCCAGGGCCTGGCCTTGACAATGCTCAGTGTTGATGGCTGTGCGGAGCTGGGTGAGAAGATCGTCTGCAGGGGAGCAGCATGGAGGAGGCCTGGCTGTGAGGAACAAGACCACCCTTTCCCTGCATCTCTGAGGCAACCCTGAGGCAGGCTTCCCTCAGAACCTGCTCCTTTCTTGGGATTCAGAGGCACTTTGGTGGCTTAATGAGAACGTGCCGAGGGTGTTTCAGGAGTCCCCATGTGCAGCTATATCCTGACTCTGAATTCAGACTGACCCTAGGTGACCTCAGGTTGTCCCTGACTCTCTCTTCAGGCTAGTGCCGGAGGCAGGGAGAGGTGGGGAGTGTGGCTTGGCATCACAAGTGCTAATGCCTTACTGCATGCTGGGCGCTATTCTGGGCACTTCCTATGGATTCCTGTATTTAAATCCGCACAGCAACTCAGCAAGGCAAGCGTTGCCATCACGGAGGTGGAGGCCCAGCGAAGTGGAAGAATGTGTGTCACATTCCACAGCGAGCAGGCGGCAGAGGTGGGGCTGGAGCTCAGGTGGTCTGGCACCCAAAGCTGGTGGTTGCCCGCCATGGTGGGCCCCGCCCCTGCCACTGGGGAGGGAGGGAAGGAGAGAAGGGCAGCACTTAGGCTCCCCTGGCAGGGGCCGCATCTTCCTGCCCAGATGACAACACACTCATCGCCCAAGAGATGGCAGATGAGGGGCGGAGCAAAACTGGAAATGATCATCCTCATCTCTGGGCCTCACGTGACCCCGTGCTGTCCCTGGAGCTTTGGAGACCACAGCTTATCCTTGCCTCTTGGATATCTGTTTCAACTCCCTGCTTCCCCAAGCCTTGCCCTTGTCCAACCATCCATCCACTCATTCAGCATTACCATGTGCCCAGTGGGGGCAGCACAGTGATGGGTGAGGCTCCCTCGTGCCTCAATCTGATGGAGCAACAATTAAACCTATCATCTATCTATGTATCTATCTATCTATCATCTATCTATCATCTATTATCTATCTATTGATCTATCCATCTGTTATCTATCTACTATCTATCTCTCTCTCTATCTATCTGACACAGTGAACAGAGCAGAACATCTGGGAAGGGAGAGTAGTTGGGGAAAGCTTCCTGGGAGAGGGGGTACCTTAGTTCAGTCTTGAAGGAGACAGGGGAGCTAGCCAGGTGCAGGCTTGGGGCCACAGGCAGTGCATGGACAGGGGACAGGGCTGAGGCCGCAGGGCAGGGGCCACTTGGGAGTTGCCATTTGGAGAGCAGGGTGTGAGGGAAGTGGAAGGAGGGAAACTGCAGTTAAGTGCGGCTAGCCTCTAGTGGGGGACCTCGGAGGACATTCTGGAACGTACTTCCCTAGGCCGAGACAACTCAGTGTTGCTTGAGAGGGTGCCAGGAGGGCTTTCCGGGGGTGTCCTTGGAGTCCTTCTCCTCACCCAGGAGCTCCCTTCTGCAAATGGCCATCCCTGCTGAGGGGCCTGTGGGCCACCCCCCTACTCCATGAGTCACTCAGGTGCTTCAAGGTGGTTTTCCCAGGAGATGGGAAAGCTACCTGTGAGCCCCAAGGGTCTGTGCATTTTGGCAAGAAGGGGCAGGCTGCTGGGTGGCCCACTTGTCTCGTTGAAAAAGCAATAGAGGAACCTATACCTAAGGAATTCTAGACACAGGGTGAAATCAGACAGATATGTATATGGATAACTCAATATATAGTCAAATAAAAATATGCCAAATCTTAAAAAAAAAAAAAAAAAAGGAAAAAGGAAAAGGACCTTTTAGCTAAGGCACAGACTGTAGCATTTATTTGCTGCCGGCTGAACCTCTAGGCTTATCACAGAATCCACGCACCACAATGGCAACCCATCGCCCAGCCAGCCAGAGTGAGGGGGCCAGTCGTGCACGTGCACGGAGGAGCTGGGGGCAGGGTGTTTTCAGTTCCTTTGCTGTAAGGAAGTGTCCCTTTCAGCAGAGTATGCTGTCCTTAGGAATAGCTAAGGGACCAGAGAGAAGCAAAAATAACAATCCTTTTGTGTAACATTTACCACTCCCAAGGAGAAGCCTCAGAATGCTAAGAATCAGTGCCTTTATAAAAATTAATATTTTTAGCAGGAGATTCTGTTGATGCTTCCTGGAAACCACAGAGAAAGAGGCGTTGGAGAAGAGAGAAAAGGAGGTGAGGGAGGGAAAGGAAAGGAGGGGCGGAGGAGGGAGGCAGGACTCCTTGGGTCCTAGACAGTCTTATTTTTGTAGGTTCTACCCCAGAGTATATAAAAGAATTAAAATGCACCCACATCCCACATTAAATGGAATTATTTTGCTATAAAATACTTGGAAAGAATTTTTATAATTTTGCTTTTGAAATTATTTGGCTGAAGTTTACTCATTTAGTTTACAATTGGCTCCAACTTCCCAGCCATCATCACATACACGCAGGAATCTGTACAGGGCGAGAAAATAAAAGGTACAAATTGTTTTCAAATGGAGGAAAATTTTCATGAGTATCAAATGGAACAATTAATGACGTTTGAATGTATTCATTAAAATTTTATTGTTTCCAATTTTGCTCTTTTCTATTTTGGAGCAGCTTCATTTTTCCCAGGTTGCAATGTTTGATGAGCAGAGCTCATGGGTCGCAAATACTTCACTTTATAGGGTTTACTTTCCTGTGAAAGGCTTACAGTAAAGCAGTCCTGGAAGGGGTGAGGGGGACCGAGCTCATACGCAGGAGGCTTGTCTCATCTGTAGGCTGGGCCACTTTCTTCTAGATGGCTCTTCCTCTAGCTGCCCTGCCCGT